ACAGAAGAAAAGGAACAGGCACCGGTGGAAGAAGAGGCAGTTTTTGAAGTGATCACCCAGGGACGAGAGGATGAGTTGGAGGAGAACGAAGAGAGTTCTGTGGATGGGGAGCCTAATCACTTCAAAATGGCCTCTGTGCCAGACGAAGAAATGACGGAGTTATATGTGGCAGTAAGTGACGAGGATAAAGGGAAGGAAGAAGAGGCGACTGAAATGAAGAGCGAGGATGAAGAAGATACATATGAGACAGTAGATGCAAAAGCGACTCAAAAAGAATCAGGTAAATCAAGTAGCGAAGGAGAATATTAAGGCTACTGAGCATCAAGTAAATGTGAAGAAAAAGCTGGGTTTCGGGCTGTCACGGGTTTTTATTGTTTTTTCTTCTCTAATCTTTCTTCCTGGAAGGCTATTAAGTACAAAATGTTGGTTTCAATCCCTGAGCCGCTCAAATTTCTTGTATATGAGGTTTTTCATTGCCTGTTTTCAGTCATTTAATAAAAAATTTCATTTGTTAGTCCACTTGTCCTCTTGAACGGCGGGACGTCTTCATGAGGAATAGTATCTCATCGTCCGGGAGTCACACAACTAACGAAGCAGTTTGCTGGTTTGTAGAGTATTCATAACCGCTTAAATTTCCCAAGTTTTTTTAGAAATGAGTAATTGAAATGAACTTGCTGTAAGGAATACAGATATATGAAGTGTTTATTTTTTTTGTTAGTCCTCTGGTGGCGGTTCACGCTACGGCTCTTGAAAAAATCCTCATTCTTCAAGAAGGAATTTTGATGCTTTTATGCGCCAGTTCCTGTAATTTTTTACCTATCCTAATCGATTAGGGAGAAATATTTTCTTAATGTCATTTCTTTCAATACATAGCGGATTTTAAACTTATTGTAAGTAGGTAGTTGAAGTTGAGAGTTCATACTTAGTTTCATTACTCCGTTTATAGTGCTTCAGAAATGCAATTCCGTTTTCATTGTAGTATTGGATGCTGAAATGCAAGTGTTTGGTTGTATATCAAAGCATCTTTGTGGAAACAAATGTCTTATTTATGTTTTGTCAGTTTGAGCAAAAATAAAGTTTTTTCATAGCTGTTTGAACTACAGTTTGTTTAAAAAACGACCAGCGGGCGTGCTCTTCTCTAGGCGTCATATTGGTACAAGGACTTGTTAGGATTGTCTTGGTAGTAAGTCGGGTCTAGGCTGTGCTCGTCAAAGTAGTATAGCTGCGTGATATGGGTCCGAGCGTCGTCTGCCATAGGGTGCGTCGGTAAATAATAGCTGCTGGTCGGGACTTGAACGGCTATTTAGTGTGCTTTCTGGCTAGAGTTTTCTAGCTTGAACCCCCCCCTCCCCCGAAGGTTCCTTTCAAAATAGGACTTCTAAAGAGCTAGTCAAGTGGGACACGGAAATATTCGTTGTTGTCTAGAGGTGGTACTTAGTTTACAAAACTTGTGTGTTCTCATCCATTTTACTTCTGAGCGCTCGAAAGTTGGTCGGATGAGCAAACGTTTGCATGTAGCTTTATTTCTCTTTTAAGCTTAGCAACTTCTCAGCCACCAAATTACAATCGTGTGTGTCTGCCGTTTACTTCGTCGTCATTTCGCAATTGTAAAATCCAGAGCTTGGATTCTGGTGACAAAGTCTGTGGAGTTTACTCAACTGTCGGGAAAAGTGTAATTAACTTTTAAAACTGCTGGTTAAGTAAGAATTACTAAAATAAAACCAGGCTTTATCGTGCTGTCGAATTCTTGTTCAACAGCTGGAGGGCATCTCGTACTCGCCCGTTAGCGTCGTCTAATGCTTTCTGAGCTTTTTGGCGATTACCACTCAGCAGCGCAACAATTGCGCACTTAACATCCCCTTGAAAGTAATCCAACGCCTCATTAACCTGAATTAAACAAAAGGCGGATAAGACCAGTTGGTCTATTTGGAGTGATATAACCACTATAGTGTATGACACCGTGAAATAGTACCTCATCTTCTGAACCGCCTGTTGCTTCCTTGACAATGTGATATGATCGAGCGATAAGTTTCTTGTTGGTTGTACGTAAATTGACCATCAAATTCCCATAAGTTTTTCCCAGTTTGATCATTGTTAATGTCGAAAGCATGTTACAAACCAGTTTTTGAGCTGTGCCTGCTTTCAGCCTTGTTGAACCAGCAACAAGCTCCGCACCAACAATTACTTCAATTCTGTGATCCGCGTTTGCGCACAACTCAGAGTCCCTGAAAGCAGCTGTTGATTCTTCACCGACAGTCAAGTAAGCATTTTGTAGTTATGGATTAAAAACAAAACCAATTTTCAATTAATTTTGATAAAGCTTCATTCATTACCTTTACCTTTCAATAATCAAAGATTTTTCAATTTTACACGACAACTTCTCACTTGAATATACTTAATTATAGTGGTTTTGTTTAACTTATCCAATCAATACATCGCCCGCCCACTTCTGAATAACAAGGCCCGGGGCTAGGCCTACTGCTTGCTATTACCTGTTACATGATAACCCTACTGTTAGGGCACCAATTTTTTTTGCATATGCCAACGACCCAACAGCATATGGCGTACGACCCGATGCAGAAATTCCGACCACTGTGTCCGAGGTCGATAATTTCAATGACTTTAGGTCGGCTTCAGCAAGACTTGGATTATCCTCAGCACCCTCAACCGCGAGCATCATTGCACCTGCTCCTCCTTCAACAGAAAAATTTGACGTATTAGTAGGTGAGCAGTCATATAGAGTTATATAGATTTCTAACTATTCTAGTATGAAAAGCTAGAATGCAGTGATATTTACAGAATAGTTTCAGAGGACCGGTCAGGTACTGCCTATCTGTTGTACCCAGAATGCACTGTCCATATGTGTACTGTCAATCGCATCTTGCTTTTGCTGCTAGCTTAGTGAAATGGGGTGTTGCTTTTAGTGTGTCGTGTCATAATGTGGGTAGAAAAGGAATAAACTACAAGTTTTCAAAATCTCCTAAATTTGACGTTTGTGTATTCTTTGTATAGGCTTTATATACAAATGTCAAAGCAGCGACAGATATTAATAAAACCTTCTGTCGTAATTACCAAAGATAAAATTCAGAAGTAACATCACAGCAGATAAAACACCACAGCATGACTCAGAAATGCTGAAAAATAGAGGCTTCAATATTTAGACATTTATCGTCCCGTATGTATTGCATCTAAATGGCAAAAAATGTATCTTTTTACAGATGGACGCCAATAGTTAAAATTTTGAATAAGCAAAAAAATATGCCAACGTTCTGATAATTAAAAAGTTTTCAACACTACTGTCTTCCCCGAAAGAGAACTAAATTAGAAGACCCATAGTTATGTCATGCAAAATAGCTGAGAGAAGACTGTTGAAAACTCTAGAACTGTCAAGGCGAGCTAGCTAACAGTGATACTAAAGGTAACAACGACCAAAGATGTGTTTGAGTCACTGCTTTTCATTCTGTTCAAAGGAACTCTGAAGTTTGAAGCACTGAGAGTTTTGTGTAAGATAATAGGAGAAGGAGAAAAAAGGTCTTCTAAAAATTTGTTCCCCGAATGAGAAGAAAATGTGCATCAAAGTACGGAATGAAATAGAATTTTTCCACTTCTCCCCCTTCTTTTGAATACTTTTAACTACTTTCACATCCTAACTTGTATTCTGCCCTACTAGAACAGAACTGCTTCTTTACTCTTTAATTGTTAGCACTGGTTATTTCCAAGAACACTGCCTCAGTCTTATAACTCGCAGAAGTGCACTGTCAGATCTTCAGTAAGTTACTGAACAATAGTTAAGGGTTTCTCCAAAATCTTTCAGAGAAACTGTTGGGGAGAAAATGATACTGTCATTGGAAACTGGCAATACGTTAAGTTATAAAAAGTATCTTTTAACGTCAAAGGCTGTCTAAAGTATATTAACCTGTTAATAATTGAAATCTTCAAAACTTTCACACTCATCAAGATAGTTGACTGTATCGTGAGATTTTCTGGCTAAATATACTCAACCACGCTAGATACTGGAACACAGCTGCTTATGCTACTTCTTAACTAGTTTTGAAAATTGATGATATGGACGGTGACTAACCGGCAATCAATCCAATCACTTCGCCAACCGACGTATTGAATGTTGGGATACATTCAACGGCATCAAGAACACCAATACGACCAGCAGTTCCAGCGCCAGTGTAGATAAGACGACCGCCTTCAGCCATCCTTGCTGCAATTGCGTCTACACTTTCGGCTATCGACGGCAAAACATTGCTTATTGCTTCTGGAACCTAAGATAAAGTTTCGGGATCATTACCTTTGTGTAGCAGTTCCGTTCTACAATTCCGTATAATTTTTGAAGCAGTAGAATTCTCAAATTATCAAACAGTCTAGTAAGTTTTTTGATAGTAGCAGTGAAGAAAACCTTAGCATCTTCAGAGTTCATAAGTGTTGCAAGTTCTAATGTACTCATTTGGTCAATCGACCCAAAAGCTGGATTTATTTTTTCCGTTGTTAAAGTTTCCAACTGTTTCCGAAGATCCATTCTGAAATTTTAGAAATTGCACTTTTCTACACGGTTCATTAATAATACGCAGAATAGTCAGCAGTGATCATTTTGAGTGCCTCAGCTTATCACATTTCATGTTAAAATCAACGTATGACAAACAATGATCATACGTGAGAACTTTCCGATCAGAATTCATGATCAAGAGATTAACCTCAAAAGATTTTAAAATTATCGTCAGCAGTAAAGAAGATCCCGGAAGCCACGTTTTCAGATGCTAACCAGTCTGAATTTCTGAAACAATACTCCAACCACCCTACTATCACTGTAAGCAGCAGTGAAGAAGTTAAATAAGAATGGAAAAACAATTAATACCTGGCTTCTTTCACAAGCAGTAACGACTGCAAAAGCTTATCAGCATTCCCCAATAGGTTTAAAACAAAACAAACACTGCCACTCCCGAACTGGACCGCCCCGCCAAACTCTTAACTTAGTCGCCTGTCTAACCTTCTGACATCGCGTAAAACATGCTGAGCTTCTAGCATCCCTGAAACCATTTATCCGACGACCAGGACATAGACCTAACACCACTTGCCTCAGTTAAACGCCAGGCCTATCCACTCAAGAACTTCAGCTAAGCAGTAATTACAAATTTAGTCAAGTGCTTTATTCTTCCTCTAACACACAGCTCCCAGTAAAAATAAACAAAATGCGCCCTAAATCCAACCAGTACAGCAGCAACTTAGCAAGAGAAGTTACAAGTTATAGTATGAACGAACATGTTATTATTGTTCCTCAAACTATAATCCTTCAGTCACTGAATGGTAAAGCGACTATACAGTACAAACAAAAAATGTACATTTGAACAAAGAACAACATTCAAAAAAAAAATAATTTCAACATGTACGTTTCTTAAAACACCAAATTCATTTCTAAATTACAACATAAAGAAACACGTTAACAACAGGCTCGTCACATTCCTTAGTAGACAAAAGGAAAAAAACAAAGAACAATAACTTTGACGGCAAAAGAAAGCATCCTAGAGATCAATTTAACAAAGAGAACCCTGGTATAATTACACTCAAATTCTTCAAAGCGGAAAGAATAATTAGAGACAAAGAATTAACTAGCCAACTAATATCAATGATTCTAACAAAAAAATAAAAACTGCTTCATTCAACCTCTCAACAGTCTTACTCCCATAACCGGAATTAAAGTTGTTCATGACAACTGCCAGATTTTTCAGATGTCCTAGTCCACTAAATTCTCAAACAACAGAACCGTTCAGACTTGGAGATTTTTCTTCATCAAACAACATAAAGAAATGAAAGCAAAAAACTTAAAAATAAAAAAATGGAAACTAAACGTCACTTCTCCCTTCCAATGACCTAGTCATAAGTTGATCATAAAGTCCTGCTGTTGTGAATAACTCCAGAGAGTCAGATCTCGTTCTATCCTGCCGTAACCCATCGTCTAGAAACTCGTCAACATCTCCAGGAGTTTCAGACAATGAGCTCTTCAATGAAGCTTCGTCACCGTATGCATCACTCGCTGAACCCGAAGAAGCTGGGAGTAACCTAACAGTTTTTGAATTCACCTCAGCAGTTGAACCATACAAAAGCGGTATGTACTGGACCATGCCAACTGACCAAGCCTAAATTGAGCAATTGAAGAAGTGCAAGGAAAACTGATTTATAAACAGCGAATAATAAATTTTAGAAGAGTTTCGCTGAGCAAGCAAAGACAACAAATAGAACAAAGATGTACTATTGTAAGCATAGAGCCATATGGAAATTTCGGTAAAAACAGCATCAAGGAAGCGTCTCCGAATGACTGTCCAACAATGAGGCCACATGGAGTTAAACGAATCTTTGGTCTGTCATCAACGATAAATAGCGCAACAACAGCACAGTTGCCTTAATTAAAAAAGCATCATGAAGGTAATGAAAAGAAAGCACTGACCGACTAAAAGCTAAGAGGTTGAGATAAATAAGAAGCAAGTTAGTGCAAAAGTAATAAAAAAGTTAATACCACAATGCTTTTTAAAAAACAAGACTGCAAGCTTTAACTATCAGAATACGTGAAAGATCAGTGATAGAAACACACCGCAATATTTTACATCAATCGGGATTTAGATACCGATATGCATGTAACACCTTCAAAATGAAAACCTCTTTACATAAAAAAACTAGAAACGCCATACGGCGCAACCAGCGGGCCAAAGAGGAAACCCGTTAGAAATTAGAAAAAACATTCTTACTTTTGAATGAAATTGCAAGCCTTTGACTATCAGGAGACATTTGCATATTCCGAACATCCCCTCCAAAGGAAAAAACTTCGCTATTGTCAGACGTATCTTGTACGACTTTCTGCACATCAAAGACTACTGAAGCTTCGAACATTCCATGACGAAACCTGAAAGACATCAACTACCAACAATGCTTTGAAAAAGTAAAAAGATTTCTGTTCAAATTTTCGTAAAACTTACTGTAACTGTTCCCCATCTCCAGACGTCTCAGCTCGAGTAACAAACCGTATTGCTCGTATAAGCGGCTCCCCTTTACAAGAAAAAAAGAAATACGTGTTATCCGGAGACCAAACAGCAGAAGTGCACACACCTTTTAATTTGCTCCAACTTTCGTATTTCCAGGTATTTCGATCATAAACCCTCAAAGACAAGTACATAACAAAAATCAATAAAAAATAACCGCAAAATAATTCACTTTTCATTCAAACATAAAGAAATAAAGTTTAAATAAAAACTGTTCAAATGCCTCCGTAATAAACAACTGCTGTATGACCCGTTTACTAGATTTACACAGTAAACTAAGCCCTGTGATCTGCAATCCAAAGATTAATTGAAACAACTAACTTGATTATATTAGAATGGCAGGTAACAAGAATACTAGAACCATCCGGTGACACATATATGCGTTTTATTCGATCGCCAAACCAATTTCCTATTGTTTGACTGTCATTAGTTGTCGTGTCTACTATCTTAATAAACCCAAGAAATATCAAAATTACACATAATCCTTAGCAATAAAAAGTTGCCAGCCTATCCTTTCTTAAATACAAAAAGTATTTTCTTATAATTCTTGATATTAAAAAAATCCGTGAACTAGAGATAAATGATAGTTATTTCTTAAGCAGTTCTGACACTGGTAATCTCGAATGCAGCTTCACTTTGCATCATTCTCTCAACTGCATGAACTTCATGACCGTCAGTGATCCCTCTCTCTTTCTTTGTTCAACGAAATTCACTCAAAATTCACAACCTAATTTTTTAAAGCATAGATAGGTAAACCGTAACTAATTTGCATAAACAAATTCTATTCACTCTCGTAACAGGCAATTCATTAAAAGTTGAAATTATAAACTAAATTATACTATGCTTCCTGGAACCATAAAAAAATAGACACCGAGTATCAGTTCTTAACACCTAAGCGACAAATGTTTCCTTTTTGAAACTATTAAGGATTGGTTAATATTAAAAACCACAAATGGTAAAAGATATCAAAAAAGTAACCAAAATTTGGGATGACGAAGGAGAAGTTGCGAACAGAGTGGCAGATAACGATTTATCCCAAACGCATTGAGTCGCTGGACAGAACGCCTGTGGCAGTTCCAAAACTTGGGCACATTGGGGAGAAACTCTGAATGATGGATCAGCTTCGAAGATTCTAGATTTTATAAGGTCTAGAAATAACAAAGAACCACACAATCACCTGTTCGCAAGTCTTTGTTGAGCGAATCGCCACACGATAATGACTGTACCACATGCAACAGCTAAAGCAAACTGGTCAAATGGCCTGAAAAAAAGTAAAACCAGTGCGGCAGGTATTAGTCTACTTTATTTACCAGTCAAATAATAGTAGCATCAGTCGCAGTAGTCAAAATAACAGCATAGCAACTTTGCTACTTTCTATGCTTCATTGTATTAAATCATAGAACCAAGGCAGTTAAAATTCGTACAGCAATAAGAAAAAGGTTAAAACTCACTTCCAAGCCATATCAGTCACGTCCTTTTGTGCAGGGTGTTTTAATGTTATAGGGGCCTTCTTCATACTGTCGCAAAGGTAAACGCGAACGTAATCATTAAGTTGGCAAACAGCAAGACGGTCACCGTCACTGCTACAGGCGATGCATCGAATCCAATTAGATTCCCTGAAAAACACAGCGAATATCCGTTGTAAGTTCTCAAAGTATACCATGCCAAAAAAACTTGTTCGTTTTAAATCTAAAATAATCCCCTTATTAAATTAAGGCTCTCAACAAATATATTACCAATGGAGTACATCTGTCGTGTTCGCTATAACATCACGAATATTCTCCTGCGAACTAACAAAGACCTTTTTAAACCCCTCTTCGGCTCTTTTTACCATGTTTCCAACTTTCGCAACAGGCCATTCAAAGCTGGTACCTTCCGATAAATCAGTTAAGTAACCCCAGACGCCCTTGGCGCCTTTCTTCTGCCTGTAAAGCACAGTTTATACAATATAAGGGAACTTAATACAGCGGAAAATTTCATGGAACGCAAAGTCCTCATAAAATAACGAGATTAAACAAAATAAGACAAGCGCGAATCTTCCTTGGTTCTGAACAGGAAAATCTTAACGAGACTAATCATGTGATCGCTTTAAACGCATCATGGGTCAATCAAAAAACTGAAAAGATAAAAACAAACCAAGCGTCATACGCTTCAGCTAGTCGGTTACTCCTATCATCGCTGAAAACTCGATGAACGTTATCTCTGGACAACGCATGCTCAAGAGAGTGTAGATGACTTTTGTCAAGAACTGGATATTTATGTAACTGCAACATAAGACAAACTTCCTCGTACGTGAGCTGTTTTTTTTTCTTCGAATGACTCAAATCAAAATTTTTTTTTTTCATCCCACCTAATCATGTAAAAACATTTAAAAAAATGAGCTGACGGGAAAAAAGGAATCTAGGGAAAAAGTATATGTACCAGTTCACTTCTAGATGCCAATTCAACCTCATCTCTTGAACCATAGATTAGCCGTCCATTCAACTCCTGGATACAATATGAAGCCTCAGTGTCGTCAAAAGGTGGAAACTCGAGTAACGACATCTTAGTAATATGAAAAGAAAAAGATCAAAAATCGGGCAACAAAAGTATATACATATATGTATATAATTGTCAGCAGAGTATCCAGCCACTGTAACTGTGTAAAACAAAAATGTTACCAAAACAAAACATATTTAAAAAAACAAAACATATAAAAAACAAAAACATACAAAAAACATATTCTACCAAAACATATTTCTTATAGAATCGAACTGATTACTAGATGAATACAGAGACAGAAGTTCAAAATTTCTAAACGATGCAATAAAAATCATAAAGGTCAGAAACAAGAGGGGGGAGGAAAAACAGCAGCCAAAATATATCAGTGATTTTCACGATAAAGTTAAAATAGAGTTAAAAAGAGTAGAAATTAAGGTAATGAAAGCATCAAGCAACAAAAACTGATATGCAAGGACGACTATCATCTGGAATCGACGGCACCGGAATCTGTTTTGGCGAAACACGGAACGGCAGTCGGAACGGGCAGAACCTATTGCGTAGCAAACCCGCCAGTTTTGAATCGCCGAACTTTGTGCGCAATTGGTTTGAATTTGTTGGCAGCAAAATAGCAGTTGTCGAGCCGATAGCTCACCTGCAGCTACTACTGCTGCTATCATGGTGTTCAACGTTGATTTCAGATTCTTCCCAAATGCACCACTATGAATCTGCAGTATTTGGGTTAGCTAAAAAAACGCTGTTGTTGTGCTCTCGAAACCCGCAAAAAAAAAAAAAACTTTTTAAACATTTCAACTGCATCTGTGATTTAGATTACATAGCAACTTGTTGAAAAATTCAACCATATCTTTAGACAGCAGTCTTCAACAAAATTATAAACAAAAAAAAGTGCTGAATTCTTAAATTGTAAGTGTCAAGAATCAGAAAACTTTTAAACTAACTGTTTTTGCTAAAAGTAGATGCACGAATAATCACTGGATTCTACAAATTGAAAACCAACAAATTCCAGCTTAAACTACTAAATTTGAGCACATAGTTCTGGTATAATAAACTTTTGGATCTTCCTTAACAGATATACCAAATTTTTTAATGATCATTTTTTTAACAATGCTAAGGTTGGCAGCAATTATTTTGCCGATATAGTTGTTGTCTAAGTGCATCTGTGCTCAAATTTAGTAATTCAAGGTGGAATCTGTGCTGAGATTTTACAGTTTTGTCGATTATAAAAGATTCTGCGAATCAGCTGCAAAAATCGTTTGTTTCAATTTCTTTGATGAACTGTTTTGTCCAAATACTATATTTTAGCTGAATGTATCCATCAGTCATTATGGAAAAATGTAATCAATTTTAAAATTTACTAATAACGCTAAAATTTTATTTGTTATCATGGTCAACTTTGCGGGATCTCTGTTCAACTTTACAACTTCACATAAATTTTCCTCACACATGCTTGTGAATGTTCTAAGAATTGACTAGCCAGACTGACGTCATATAATCCTTAAAAAATAGGCATGAAAATATTATTTTAAGCAATGCTATCTGGTATTTATTTTTTCAAATTTTTCATGTTTGTCTGCTGTGTCCACAGAGTAAGTAAAGGTTCAAAAAGTAATCCATGCAATTGGCATCTTTAAAAATATGTATATAGATGTAGACGTTTTTTTTTTTTTGAAACTTTGTATTTTGAAATATTTGTGTACATAATTTAAGAACTGACGGGATTAGTATTATTACTTTAGACAACGCTTTTTTCCTCAAAATGTTTGTCTGGCAAAAACAGCACTTTAAAACAGTACATCGTTTTTTTTTTTTTTT